AAAATTATCACAGAGCCCCTAAGTGGACAAATGTATTTTATTATGATACAACTTAAATACTATGTATGTACATATTTCTCATGCAATTGTAAAACCAAAATAAATTTGCAAATACAGAGATACAAAGCCAATAAGATATAAATTAGCTGTGACAGATTTTTTTTTGCTAAAACTAAGTCTGATTAAAAGTTTGTTTTTTCCCCAGCTTTATTGTATTATTGCCAATTAAAATTCTATATATTTAAGGTTCATAACTTGATTTAATATAGGTGTACAACTCAATATAAAAAAATCAATAAATACCCTGATTTTCAAAAGGGCAAAGGACCCAATTAGACATTTCTCAAAAGAAAATGTATAAATGGCCAACAAGTATATGAAAAGGTGCTCAGCTTCACTAATCATCAGGGAAATAAAATTAAAACCATGACGGGGTATCATCTTACACTTGTTAGACAATAGATAACAAACATTGGCAAGGATGCGAACCCTTGTGCACAGTTGGTGAGAATATAAATTGGTGCAGCTGCTATGGAAAACTGTATGGAGCTGCCTAAAATATTAAAAATAGAACTACTTTATTATCCAGCTACCCCACTTTTGGGAAAGTAAGTTAACTTTTAAATACAAGCATGTAATCTCAAGTCAAATTTACTCTGAATCTGTGTCTCACATGCATATTTGCAGAAGTATGTGGTACAGAAATGGTATCGATAAAGATATGGCTCTTTTGCAAAAGCCATAATGGTGAAAATTCAGTGAGATGATGCATATGGAGCGGGTTTAGGACCTCATATTTAACCATACTTAACCAAAATTTCAGCTAGCTTTTAAACACTGAATACCAGTTTCAATGAGATATGGAGCTGTGCTGATTACTTCAAGATAATGTTAGCAATATAATCAGCAATACAATCTTGTTAAAAATCTGCATTACCCTGTGTTTAATTCAATCATACCTGACTGAAACACAGAAAAATCATACCTGATACTAATTTTCAATTCTTACAGATTGAAAATAAAACAAAATTTGCTTTTAGTAAATAACTCATTCAAATGTTGGTGAATGCCAGAAAATATTGAAAATGGCTCATTTATAGCAGTTTGCAAACAACCTGGTACTACATCAAGCTTTTTTCTTTTTAACAATTACTTTGACTTCTAATATTTAAACTATTAAAACCTCTGTTCATTCGGTGCTCTGTTCACTTGGAATGAATATTTATGTATCAAGTCTGCCTCTGCTCTTTTTATCATTGATTGCGACAATTAAAGCAAATGCCTACTGTCATTTTCATGATGTGAAATCCAGGTCTTAATTTATTAAATAACGTAACAAAACTTTTATTCTAGGAAAATGTCATGCCTCTTTTCATTCAATTTGGAACCTCAAAGAAGTCAACACGTGGTATTTCAATTCCAAAGTGCTCCACCCAGAACATTCAGAGATTACCACTCCCTGAAAAACCAATATCCACAAGTGCTGGGGTTACCCAAGACCCTCTGGGGAATCAAAGAATTCAAAATAACACTAGGTTGTGCCAGAAAGTAGAGCCGCAGTTGCATAAAATATATCTCTAACAACTCTCAAAAGACCAACTATCCCCCAAGGTGGCTTCCTGGTTTAGCTACCAATTTTTGAAACCTAGGCATATCTAAGCTTAATGCTTAGAATAACTGGCCTACCACTTGTGAAAGACCCAGACTATTTTGAAATCATGATGAAATTCATTGGTTGAGGCATGGCAGGTGCCCACTGTTCCCATGAACCAACACTTTTCCTAGTTGTGTATGTATCACATCTTATTGCCATACTGCATTTCCTGGGGGCCCCTGCTTACTGTACTCATGACAAGCTCTTGGGGAGTCTCTGAGTTTACTGGTTTATTGGTAATTGCATCAGGATTGCGGTGGCTTTGACGATTCCTTTCAAGTTAAAGTCCTATATTGAACTGAATTTCTTCCTTTGTATTACTACCCCAATTTTCTGGAGTCACCCAACAAACTTCAGGAAACCTTTTTTGAAGCTACTTAGAAATTCTGACAATAGTAAGTAGCTAGCTGGTCAAGTGGCTGGCTGGAACTAATGGTGAAGTGAGTTGAATGTGTCCTTCCAAAATCTATGTCCATTCAGAAACTCAGAATGTAACCTTACTAGAAAATAAGGTCTTTCAAAGATGTAATTAGTTAAGAGGAGGTCATACTGGATTAGGGTGGGTCCTAAATCCAGTGACTGGTGTCCCTACAAGAAGAGAAGACACACAGAGATACACAAGAAAAGAAGACCATATGAAGACAGGAGCAGAGATTTGAGTAATGCATGGATAAGCAAAGGAATTCCAAGGATTTGGGAGCCACCAAAAACTAGGAAGAGGCAAGGATGGGCTTTTTCCTAGAATCTTCAGAGAGATCATGGCCTCCTGACACCTTGATTTTGGACTTGTGGCCTCCTCCAAAACTGTGAGACAATACATGTGTATTGTTTTAAGCTACCTAAGTTGTAGTCATTTGTTACTGCAAAAGTAGGAAACTGATACAAACTCCATAGTACTATGGGCTCTTTCACATTTATTTCTTTAAAGCCCACTATGACAATGAAATCAAAGGAGGGAAGTCAGGCAGTAACGAACTCTTTCAGAGCACTATTAGAGAGATTAATGACTGTATCTGTAGATGAGCTTCCAACCTCATTCCTGTCCTTCATCTCTTCTATCGAGGGCATCAAATTGCACCCTCCTCTTCCCTACATGACCTCTCCTCTATATCCTCATAATGTGGCCAATCAGATATTCACTCTTAGAATTTTGAACATTGACTTCTAAGGAAACAGACAGAGAGAGCCTGGATTCCAGGCTCACAGGGTCAGCAGCAGAAATGTGTGGACCAGACTGTTCCCAAGTGTGACCTATGCTGAGGTTATTGCTCTCCTGAGTGCAGAGTTCCCTGGATGTATTTTTTAAGGTTTACTTCCAGCCCCTCATTTGCTCAATGAACCTGGAAAACCTTCCAAAACTTCCTTAAGAAAAAAAAAAAAAGACATTCAGGGTTTGGATGTGTTTATTTCACCAGGTATTAAAAACCCTGACTATTGTTAACATTGTCACTTTTTAACTGGGTCAGCTCATTTTTAGCAGTTTTCATATAGTAAGGCAGATGTGTCTAACACAAAGCATACACTAAAAAAACTATAAAGGTTAAACAACTGACTTCCATTTGGGTCAGATCATGATGGTAATTTTTGAATTTCCCAAATTTCCTAAGAAAACAAAACAAGTGGGGTAGCATAGGAAAAAAATACTCAAGACTGCAGCTTGGGGAGGTTGCAGAGGGAAGACGTGTAGAGAAGTTCTGGGAGATCCAAGAATTCCACAGCTCAGACATTACTAACAAATACTAGTGAAATACTGAGTGGAACCCTGAAAGAGTAAACCTAAGGTAAACTAGAAAAATTTGTAGAAATGTAATGCAATAGGCTACAAATTGTGGGTGAATGCAAAACAAAAGAAGGAAAAAACAAACAAACAAAACAACAACAACGAAGTCCACCAAGGGGCTACAGGAAGATAAGAGGTAATGGAACACCCTAATCTCCAAAATATACCTAATAAAAAGGTACACTTTTATTGGAGACCCACGGGAATTAAAGAAAAACTCCTGGGGCAGAATCCTAATTGGGTAGAGTAGTGAACTGGTGACAAAGGACCGAAGCCAGCTTTCACTTAGAGGAACAATGTTACAAAATATAATAAATAAGACCCCATTACTGATAGCAAAAGGATCAAATAAAATATAAAAGAACAAATATAACAAAACATGAGCAATATCTATATGAAGAAAACTATAAAACACTTCCTAAGACACAAGAGCAGCCTTGATAAAATGGAAACACTGCCCATGATTTGGGATAGAAGACTTGTGTGAGGGATGAATAACCAGGAGCAAAGCCAAAGACAATAACAGAGAAAAGCAATTGCAACTTACATCACAAAGGGCTAATATTTACCAAAAATTTAAATGAAAAAAAAGTAATAAATTCAACTTGAAAATGGACTTTATAGGCTTATATAAAATCAGGCTCAACCTCACTCTCAAAAGGGAAATGCAAATTAAACCTGCACTGAGTTACCATTTCCCACCTGCAGACTGGCAAATATCCCAAAGTTTGACAACCTATTTTGGGGTGACCACGTGCAAAAAGAGGCACCTGTGTATATTGCTGGTCAACAGTCAAAATGGTCCAGAGAATATGAACTGTATAGAAACTATTGAATGGCACTGCCAGGAAGCAGTCAGCCAGCTACAGAATGCAGAACATGCTACAAGACAAAAGACTCATTTTCCCAATGGGTCAATGAGATGGAGTGTGTGTGTGTGTGTGTGTGTGTGTGTGTGTGTGTGTGTGTGTGTGTGTGTGAGATGTGTGGGTCTGGGACTTAAACAAGATTTAAAAATGTAGTAATTAAATATATTTTATGAACCTAGTTTGAGCCCTGATTCAAGGGAACTAATTGTACAATAAAAAAATATTTGAGACAATTGGGGAAAAATGAATATGGATTGGGTATTAGCCTACATTTAGGACCTGTTATTAATTTTGCTAGATTTGATAATGGCATTATGGTTATGTAAAAAAAAAAGGACATTTTATCAGCAATGCATAAGGAGCTATTTCTGAAAACACGTGCCTCCCTTGTGCTAGGTCACCCATGGGTGACATGACAGCCTCTACTCTACCCTTCACAAACCTGGTGGTCAGGCCACCTAGCTCCTTTCCAGATAGTCCAAGACTTGGTGCCTTACACAATTTATTTCACTTCATGTATCATATTTTCTTATGCATTATATTTTCACCAATCTTTGGGGTTACACACTATTTTAAAAAACTTCAATATAGATAAAATAGAGATGTTTTGCTTTACTAAAATTAACATGAAAATATGAAATTGATTTAGATTTTCAGGCATTTTGGTTTTTAGCTCAAATAACATAGAAATACGCACCTTGACAATCCCCCGGATGTGCATTTTTGCTATCATCTCTGCCGTGTAGAGAAACATCAGTAAAGTGTCCAAAGTAAAGGTCACATACTGGAGAGGAGGGTAGTGCTCGAACGTCATGGGTGTGTTCATACAGACAGAAATGACACTGATGATGGCACAGATACGCAGCAAAGAGTGAACCCACTGCAAGAAGCATCCAAAGTCATTATTCAACACCATAAAACGGTATCTTAAACTTCTATTGTAAACCACACTACTTGGAAAAGATAAGAGACTAAAATCTTTCATCAATATGGAGAAATAAGTTAAGTGCATACAAAATACAGAGGGTGCCAAAAAAATGTATATACACTTTAAGAAAGGAAAACTGTATTAACATTGTAATACTCAATATACAAGTATATAAATAAAATATATAAGTTGTGGAGATCATACTGCCAAGTACTGATAAGTCAGAACCTTGCTGTTTCCATTTTTGTGTCCTCAGAGCCCACTATAATTTCTGACACATAATGAAGCTGATCCTATTCTGGCTTGTAGAGCTGAGTTTCCAAAATGGATGAACATGTCATTCTGCCTTAGCTCTGGCTGCTAGACTGTCTAGTCTACAATGTTACTTAGTATAGCAGATGTTCCCCTCAAGTTCTCATCAGCTTAACTAGGCAGGGAAGGTGACAAAGACCTTTAGAGGCACTATCCACTATCTCATTAACCTTTACTTTTACCCAAAAGTTGCAACTCAGAAGGAGACCTTTAATTCCAAACATTTGATTATCTCCTCACAGATTCATGCATGTTCAGTAAAGAAAGCCTGGGAGAAGAGGTCACTCATGTGGGACTCCGCTTTGGATCAGCCTGTGAAGTGGCACTATCTCTACACTGGGTGACGCTGAGGACAGCAGGCACAGTCAGGGAGAGGAGACAGCCAGACCACCTAGCGTGCCTTCCTATGTAAGTATCTCAGAGCAGCACCTCATTATTTCATCTCCATTGTTCTCAACTTCCAGATTCCTAGACTCATCTATATTCTACTGGAGCTCAAACAGACATTTCAAAGTACATGATTTTTGAATATATGAATCAAATTTCCTTTATAGCACCATCTGCTTCTCCATACTTCAAAAAAGAAACTTACTGGCTTGTTAATCCAGAGTATGTCAGCGCTGTCCGACAGAGATTCATCAGGACCAAAGTCAGTGACTGGCTGGGCCTCCACCCTGGAGCTCTGCTTCCTTTTGAGCATGCTGCAGTTAGCTCTGGGGAGCAAGTCCAAAACGGCAGTCTGGGAGAAGAGAGAGAGAGTCGTGTCAGTGACCTAAACCATCTTCACACTGATCACGAAATGAATGCCCAGTGTATGCCTCTGCATAGTCACATGTCCCGTTATACTCTATGTAATCCACACATGAAAATAGAAATTTTTTAAAGAATGAGATCAAAATTAATATCAATAAAAGCTTGAATTTTTGTTGTTGTTGTTCTTTCAACCCAACAGATCATCTTGTGCACTTCAGTTTGCATGGCAGTTTATAGAGCACTAACTAGTGTAGATGAACTGGAGAGTAAAGCAGCTTTGCCTCTTAGGGTACAAATGTGAGTAGGACACTTTCCGAGATCTATGTTCATACACCTAGCGCTGCCTCTGCTTACAGGTGGTCTATGCCAGAGCACAGCTGACCAATCCAGGTGGAATACTCAGATCCTGCTCAGGATTTCCCCCAGGGTAACTTCATGTGACACTCACGACATCTATTTCCAATGACAGCCCCAAGTTGATCTCCCAATTTTGTCTTTGCCATAGAGGATATGGGCCAGAGATTGGGGCAGAACCGACTCTAAATGGAGTTGTTTTTTTCTTTTATGAATCCTGTGACTACCGGGTGTACACATGACTTGTATTCATCTTTTGTTATTGGTATATATTGAGTATTACAATTCTAATAAGGTTTTATCTTTTCTTAAAATGTGTGTACAGTTTTTTGGCACCCTCTGTATATCAATTCTTCCAGCTATTCTGAAATCCAATTTACCCTGAAGAGGAAGATGAGATGCTTGTCTGCCACTTCTATTTCCACAATTTGGAGTCATGTACAGCTTGTTATATGTGTCACTTCCCTTTAGCCATTGCTACCATCTTCCACATTCCAGCAGCCATTGAAGGGAGGCCTACTACATATCAGGACGCAAAAAGTAAATAAGTGCAATTCAGTGTGAGGAGATGTTGTAAAGTTTGTGGTGCCTTATTACTCTGTGAGTCCTCACAGAGACTTCTCATTTGATTAACATCTGGATTGAGTCTTAGAGGAAGGAGAAGAGTTAATGTTTTTTGAATATATGCTATGTTTTGGGCATTTAGCAATGATATTTTATTTAATCTTTGCAACTCACAGAAGAAACGAAAAGTCTTTTTATGAAAAGCACTAGAAATTTCAGCTTGGGGGCAGCTAATGACTTGACCAAGGCCACTCATGCAAAGTCGAAATTTAAAAGAAGCTGCATTTGACTACAAAACTGAAGGTGTTTATAGTTGACCATGCTGATGCTGTGGACTGATAAGAAGAGTTTCTCAAGGCAGGTGAGGGAGGGATTCGGTCCCCCAGGCAGCACACAGCCATGGAGATGCCAAGTCAGGAATATGCAATAGTTTTGACAACAGGAAGGTGCACTGGCTATCCTATCTACTGCTACTTGGAGCTAGAGAAGGAACCCTGACCAAGGCCAATGAGTGCCACTCCATTCTGGAGGGAGCATGAGACGAAAAGAATACGTTTTCGGTATGTGTAAATCTATGCAATTGCAGTTTTCACTGGGACAGAGAACACAGAAACTCGGGCCAAATTGGCTTTAAATCTGATTCCCTATGTTTGAGCACCTACCTCTGCAACTATGTTCCCCTAGCTAGGCGCATCTGCCTAACTCTCCTGTTCCCAGAAGAAATCAAACTAATTTGCTTTGAGGTGTGCTAGGCATTTCCAGACTGTCTTGCTCTGAATATTGCATTTGAATATGGGCTTTGCAGTAGGCTGCACTAATTAATTTTATTTTACATAATTGGAGTTAGGGACTCTTGACATCGATATGTAAATATATGCAAAATATTCAAATTATGCTTGTTCTCTGATTTACTGTGGGGGAAACATCTGGTGGCCTCAATTTGGGATGCTTTTTGAATGACAGTCTCCTATGTACCCAAAACTGGATACAGAATCTTTTAGAAATCCTTCAAGATTTCACACAATGCAAAGGAGGGAATAAAGAGTGGTTTCACAATGTTGTTCAAAATTGGTACAAGACAATTTTACAGACCTAGCCACACCTCATTCATTAAGCCAGTGGAGACTTATGGATAGCTATTTATTGTTCTTATGACCTGGCCATAAGTTACGGTCTGAACATTTTTTGATGTATAAATGTGACACCTTTACATATTCCATGCACCTTTTATTATAAATATCCCATCGGAAGCAAAACCAATGTCTGATTATGAATTTGTTTATCTAGAGAAGCATGCATTCAGAATATATTTTTAAAAAATCTCCATGTTGACTATTATTTGGCCCAACAAAAGAGTGCAACTCTAATGAGTATTAGTTGTCATCCATTTTCACCCTCACTTTACCTACTGCAAAAGTGCCACCAAACCAAACAGCCCAAGAAAACTATCTGTCCAAACTTCAATGGAACCTGTTTAATCCACACATACATTAAAACTCAGCAACTAGCTCCTGAATGCTGAAAGTTTGACTGATTTAAGAATATTAAATGTTATGTAAAGCATGCAAGTAGTAAAATAAGTTACAAACATATGAAGAGTCCAAAATTAATTTGAGGCAGTTGATTGTAATAATTTTCCTTCACATAGAGAAATATTGTTTTACACATTCATTTATGTCAAATCAATATAACTGAGTGCAGCAAACCTATTATTTCCTTGATAAAGACCAGCAGGGATATTTAAGTATCCTAGGTAAGCTTATCATGTTGATAGGCAATTGCTCCTGTGTACCTTAGTCTTATCACTATTTATGTACTTATAACCAAATATTTTTTTTTCTGTTTACAGAAGTGTCCTTCATAAAGCACTGCACGAAATTCGAAAAGCATGGCTTCCAGTTGCTTTTTCACACTTATTAAAAGTAACTGGTATTTAAGTAGTTCAGTAGTGGAGGAAGGCTGCACAGTTATATGTTCATTGATAAATCTTTTACTTGGAAGCAGCTAATGGCAACATAGGTAGAAAAGATACTTCGGTTCATTGTGCCCTGTTAAATGGTTAAAATCCAGTTTTGTATCTGAGATAGTTATATTTTACTTCTATCAGCATACATATACTTTCCTTAGGTCATTCCAGCTCTCTCTTGACCAAGTTAAAGTTAATAAATTCAGTTTTCCTTAACTGTGAGGTATTGCAACACTATAGGTCATTTCTTCTCCTTATAACCCTCTTGGGTTTGCATGAAACAGTTTTGAATGTCCTATTTTCTAAATTATGGTTTACAGCACGTCCTTTACTTGCTGTCCCATGTGTCTGCTCTCTGCACTCAACCCCTTAAATGAGCATCTGTTCTTATAGTTTCCATCACCATCTGTTGGTGTCCAGCTGCTATTACTGAGTCATGTATCTATGCAGTTTCTCCCTTAGACATAGGCCATACCCAAACCATCGTCACTTAAAAATCAACCAGACAGCTTGATATCAGACTCAATTCCCAGATACTACTGCCCTGAGCTTTTTAGGAGCCCTATACAGGTCCCCACATGTGCAGAAAACTATACAGATTCTCTTTTCACTGATTTTCTCTGGTGAGTTCTTTCCTTGTTCCTCATCCATTGATGTACAAGGCCCCTTTTCACATTATCCCCATGGCTAGAGCCCTTTCTAGGCCACAGGACCTCCGGTCTGGATTGCCACAAACACCAACCTTTTCAATATGTCCTGTGCTTGATATCAGAAATCAACTTCCTGACTGACTGATATGGTTTCTCCTATAACCCACAAAACCTCAGCTTCTCCTCTTGTTTCTCATTCATTCATTCACACAGAAAATATTATGTATACACTATGATATCAGGTACTTTGATATGTGCTATGTATACAGCATGGGACAGCAAAGGCATTCACAGAGGTTCCAAACTGCCTGCATTATTTAACCTGATGTTTCAAGGACACTGAGTCCCTCTGATTTTTACTTGCACTGCCTTTCTTACTCATACCCACAGGCTCCACTTGAGTGGGCTAAACCTACCATTACCCACCACCCTCTCACCTTTCTCAGCGACTCCGGCTCCGTTATTCCAGCTGCGTCCTCTTGGCTGCTGCTACCAATCCCACATCGATTATTCCTATTCCCTAACTTAATTCATGAAGAGTGTTTGTCTCTGTGTGTGATTTGTTTGTTATAACGGAAAGATTTAACGTTTGGAAATAAGAGTGCAAACAAGAGAAACATACCACTCCAGTAGACTCACAACATCTATTTTATTCCGAAAAGCCTCCAAAGAGGGCATAAGTCACTGATTTAGTTTTAATTATTCAGTTCCACTATATCTGACAACACATCAAAATCAACAACTATTCTTCTGGTCACCTCTGTATATAAACTCTGGGGCCTTCCTGAGTAAAATGGTACAGCCACTATGGAAAACAGTCTGGGGGCTCCTTAAAAAATTGAAAAATAGAACTACCTTATGACCCAGCATTTCTACTTTCCAGGTTTGTATCTGAAAAAAGCAAAAACTCTCCCTTCGTCTTGAATAGCTGAGACCCCCGCCCCCCCCCCTTATTCTTCAAGCCCAGGGCGCCTTCCTTCCCCGCTGCAGGTACTGAGGACCCTGTCCTGTGCCCTCAGCACTCTGCACCTCATTCCACCAGCTCACCTCTTTGGCCTCCACCGCCCACGCAGGACTCCAGCAACCCCAGGGTCTCCTGTTTGGTGGGACTCAATAATTGCCTTTGATCTTAATAATCAAAACCATTTAAGGGAAAATGTTAAAGGTAGAATTTGATGTAAAACTGTTTAGGTGTCCCCTAGCTTAACTACTTTATGAAATGGAAAACAATCCACTCATGCACGCGTGAAACCTACCAAACACACACAGAAACCTACCAAAAAAACCCTCCACAAAAATGTGATGAAATGCTTTGGAAGATAAGGAAGTCCCCTACCAAAAATGGTGAGCTCATCAGTTGATATCCTCCAAAATTCTGTTGACTGCAATGTTAAAACAGGCTTCTTCCAACAATGTTTACTGAGGGCTTGTCATGTGCCAGGACTCTTCTAA